AAGCAAAGCCAATGGGTAACAGAAGGGAATTAATCAAATGGGAGTGTGTGCGTGTGTGTTTGAGGGGGGAGGACATCATGCAATAAGTAAATAGCTGAAATCTGTGTTTGTGACATTCCACTGTAAGATGCCATTGAAACCGCAAAATAAATTTGCTTTATCAGTTCCTTCCTTCCTTGCCTCTTGGATTCTGGCCAAGGAGCCAGCAGTGGTTCACCTTGCTGTGATCTGCATAATGCTCTGCCATACTGAACAAACTGCTCTCCTTCTGGTTAGGTCATGCTCGGAAATACAGTGGTACCTCGGCTTAAGAACTTAATTCATTCCAGAGGTCCGTTCTTAACCTGAAACTGTTCTTAACCTGAAGCACCACTTTAGCTAATTGGGCCTCCCGCCGCACGATTTCTGTTCTCATCCTGAAGCAAAGTTCTTAACCCGAGGTACTATTTCTGGGTTAGCGGAGTCTGTAACCTGAAGCGTCTGTAACCTGAAGTGTCTGTAACCTGAGGTACCACTGTACAATGCTGCCTCATAGTAGGAAGGTAGATCTCTGGTCTATATAGATAGTCCTGTTCAGAAGTTTTACTATTACAGTGGTACCTCTGTATTCTTAAAGGTAAAGGTAAAGGACCCCTGACAGTTAAGTCCAGTCGTGAATGACTCTGGGGTTGCGGCGCTCATCTTGCTTTACAGGCGTAGGGAGCCGACGTTTGTCCACAGACAGTTTTCCCGGGTCATGTGACCAGCATGACTAAGCCGCTTCTGGTGAACCAGAGCAGTGCACGGAAACGCCGTCTACCTTCCCGCTGGAGTGGTACCTATTTATCTACTTGCACTTGATGTGCTTTCGAACTGCTAGGTTGGCAGGAGCTGGGACTGAGCAACGGGAGCTCACCCCATCGTGGGGATTCGAACCGACGACCTTCCAATCGGCAAGCCCAAGGCTCAGTGGTTTGCACCACAGCGCCACCCGCGTCCCTTACTCTTACTCTTATTTATTTATCTATTTATACCCTGCCTTTTCCCCTGACAGGGACTCAAGGCAGCTTACAGGTACTCCGTGGGCATCATCCCAGTGTGCAAAGAGCACTGGGGAAGATTTACAGGCTAGTGTTCTCTTGCTCCAAGGAGCCTTCCCATGCCCAGCTGTATGTGTAAAGACCCCCGTGCCACCTGGAATCCCATGTGATTGTGGGTGGGACTAATTGGCCCATGTGACTTTGACGTTTGGGAGGAGTTTATGGGGCCAGAAGGCTGATTAACCATGGCCCGTCTCCCAATGTTGTTGGACTACAACTCCCATCATCCTCAGCAAGCTTAGCCAAAGGTCAGGGAGAATGGGAGTTGTAGTCCAACGACAGAGAACAATAGAATTGTGGAGCTGAAAGGAGTCTAAAGGGGACTTAAAGTTGAAGGACTCTTCTTTGAGTCTGAGAGGTGTTATTTGGCTCTTGGGGATTGCAGAGGTGCTAAATAGGCTCTGTGTGAGTCTTATCAGATAATAAAGCTTTCAAAGGCACTTACTGAATAAAAACAACAACACTGAAATTCTGTTCAGTGAGGAAAATCAGCCTCTACAGTGGTACCTTAGTTCTCAAACTTAATCTGTTCCGGAAGTCCATTCCAAAACCGAAGCGTTCCAAAACGAAGGTGCGCTTTCCCGTAGAAAGTAATGCAAAAGGAATTAATCCATTCCAGACTTTTAAAAACAACCCCTAAAACAGCAATTTAACATGAATTTTACTAACGAGACTATTAATCCATAAAATGAAAGCAAAAATCAGTGTAGTGTACTATAAAATAAACAGGACAGTTTTGTGGATGATAAAAATTAAAATTATTATTTTTTCTTACCTACGCTGATAATAGTCCTTGTTTGGATGGGGGCTTTTATCCATTTCCGTAGTCACACAATCAATCAATCAGTAGCTGAACTGGGTTCCACACAGTCACAAAAACAAATTAAACTAAAAAGCCTCAAAAACAAAAGTGCCAAACTTAATCCGTTCCGGAAGTCCATTTGACTTCCGAAATGTTTAAAAACCAAGGCACAGCTTCTGATTGGTGTAGGTGCCCCAGAAACAACAGCCAACAGCCGCAGCGGATGTTCGGCTTCCAAAAAATGTTCGGAAACCAGAACACTTACTTCCGGGTTTTTGGAGTTTGAGGACCAAAGCATTTGAGAACCAAGGCATTTGAGAACCAAGGTACCACTGTATTACTGGGGCTGTGAGTTAGAAGGCTCATTGTCAGCTGTGGCTATTTTTTTAAAAAAAGCTTGAAATAGTTAAAACAAAAAGAATTGGCAACAGAGGTTAAAGGTGATCAAGGGTTAAATGACTTAGGCCACCTCTCCAAAATCGCTGATGGGGATGGATTTTGAATTTCTCAGGAAGACGTTGGATGACATATACAGACAATGGTAAGAAATGTAACATGACTGCATTATTCTATTTCAAAGATGAAGCTGTCAGTCCCGAGGCCAAAGAGATCTCCCAAGAAGTCAAGAGTGACACATTTTGTGAGATGTGGTGTTTAAACAAAAGCCCAGAGCAAAATTCAAACCGAACTATCTGTGTCTTGATTGAAGGGAAACTAGACTGAGCCGGATACATTTATGGCAGGGAACAGAGGAAAGGCTCCTTGATGCCGTCGTTTAAATAGTGTGTCTAATGGCAGGCAGAGGGAAGGGAAATAATGGCTTGTATGGATCTTGAGTGGGACAATGTCAGGTCATGTCTCTCCTTAACTGAAAAAGGCCTTTTTAATTTGAGCAATCCAAGCTGAACTTTGTGTCCCGTGTATTCAAATACCCATAAAGCAAAATGCTAGTGAACTGATGAAGATGTGTCGAATAATTGCCTCCCTCTCTGCCTACCATCGAACAGTTTCCTCGGAGATAATTGAATGAAATGCAGAAAGGAAAAGATATCTGTGCAGGGGTCCAGTACCAGGGTTGCGAAATGCTTGATATCTGTTTCCATGAGATGTGCTAATAATCTTCTAATTTATCCCACTTTTCCCCCGAAGGAGCAGGGAGAGATGGGAAAGGTTTACCTCAGGGGTCAGCAAACTTTTTCAGCAGGGGGCCAGTCCCATGTCCCTCAGACCTTGTGGGGGGCTGGACTATATTTTGAAAAGAAGAAGAACGAATTCTGTTAAGTTGTGGGCGAACATATCAGACGACACAGCGATTCTTCCAAAGCAGCTCTTTATTTGTAAGCTGGAATAGAACTGACTGAGGAGCTCAGTCAGCCTGCTTATATAGAGCTCCAGAACAATGTAACTGTTGCCATTTTCTAAAACTATCCAATCACTGAACGTCACTTTCGATCCTTCATTTGCATACAAACTATCCAATCACTGAACGTCACTTTCAATCCTTCATTTGCATAACTATCTACAGTATCCCCCTGCTGGCCCAGGGTGAGAACTTCAGTACATAACAAATTCCTATGCCCCACAAACAACCCAGAGATGCATTTGAAATAAAAGCACACATTCTACTCATGTGAAAACATGCTGATTCCCAGACCGTCTGTGGGCTGGATTTAGAAGGCGATTGGGCTGGATCCAGCCCCTGGGCCTTAGTTTGCCCATCCATGGTTTACCTGCTCTGCAGTTGTGACAAACAGCTGCCCCTCTCCTACCACTGTTGGAGGTCCCCCCGAAACAACTATGCCAATCTGGGAATTTATCACCCTTGCCCAGACGTCCAGGCCTGAAGGTCAGTTGCTGCAGATCAGTGCCAATTCTCCCTTCCTCTTGCAAGGGGTCTGAGAAGTTGCTGGACTCAGTTCCCATAATCCTCAATAACTGGCCATTCTGGCTGGGGCTGAAGGAATTCCAACAATTGGAGAACCACGGCCTGGTGACTGTTCGAAGAATAAAACACCCATGCCATGAGATCATCAATGGAGGTTCCTCTCCAAGTTATGGTAAGTGGCTAGAAGAGAACACAGCCTTCTCAGCAGTGGCCCCTTGCTTATGGAATGCCTCAAAAAGGCATCCCTGGTGCTTCCTTCAATGCGTTTTCAGCAGCAGCAGCAACAACAACAACTTTATTATTTGTCCTCCACTCATCTGATTGCATTGCCCCAGTCATTCTGGGCAGCTTCCATCAAAATATAATAACACAGACCCTCCAAGTTTCCCTGTTTTCCAGGGACAACCCTGATTTAGAGAAACCATCCCAGTTTCTGATTTGATCCCAGAATGTCTCACTTTTCCTTAGGATGTCCCTAAACATTTTGTGAATCTTTGTACTTTTCTCCATTTACTGTATTTATTTTTCCGGATTTGAACTATAAAATGGCGGTTTTCTTGAGTCAAAATGAGAGTACCCCTAAACATTTTTTAAGAAAAAAAGCACTGGAGTAATCCGACCCCCGAGCTGTGTGAAGGTAATCATGTATAGGAAAGTTTTTTTTAAAAAAAATGTTTAATATTTCATTATGTTTTTATATATGTTGGAAGCTGCCCAGAGTGGCAACCCAGTAAGATGTGTGGAGTATAAATAGTAAAATTATCGTTATGGAATGGGACGTCCCTATTTTTATCGGTTTTGTGTTTTATTTAAATTATCTCATATTTAAATAACTTTTTTTACAGCAAGGGTAGAGATGCAATGGGAAGTTGAGGGACCTGGACAGTTCCTTGGGGCTGTTGTTTTCAGTTCATGTGAAGGGTCTCAGAGACTCATCTGAAATTTAATTGATTGATTGTCCCTAGTTTGTGGAAATCTTTAAGGGAAGCCCAGATCCAGATGCCCTGGCCCTCCTAGTGAGGGGTAAATTAAGGGGCAGGCCAGGTGCTTGGAAGCTGGATGAAGATACCAGGTGTTGACATGGGCCTGAGATGGAGAGAAAAAGAGCCCACAGTCCGTTGGGCAAGGCCTAAGCCAAGATCTGACTTCACAATGGGCTGTGGAATGTTTTGCTTCCCAGGAAACCAGGTGAGTTGTTTGAAAGGATCCTGAGATCAGTTAAAAGCTCATTCAGCTATCTTCTTCAGATCAGTTGACATTGTAGGCATCCGTCTCCCTCAGAGAAGTCTCTTTTTTGGATCAGCTGGAATTGGTAACATCTGTCTCCTTCAGACAACTATCTTTGGCTCGGTTGAAGGGCCAGAGAGTGGTATTCTGCTGCCACAAGAAGGTAAGGTAAGAGGAGAAGATGGGAGATATTCGGAAGCCTTGTTCTTCCCTCTACCCAATTTTTAAAGATGCTCCTTGGTTATTTGTCCTTCATAAATCCCATGCTCCCAGGGAGTGTTCTGGTTAATTTTCTGATTTTTTTGGGTTTGTCTCCATCCAAATGGCAGGAGAATTACCACCTCCCCACAAGGAGAAAAAAAACACAGTAGTATGCTCCCCCTGCCCCCAATTTCACCACCTGGAAATAGGAAATTCTAGGAGCTCATTTTTCACTCAGCCCTAAAATACACACCCACCTCTGCAGGGCTCCCATCTGCACCCTTAAGTACTCCTTTCCTTGGGTGCATTTCCAGCATCTTAAATTAGTTTCCGAAGGGAGGGTGTTCCACTGGGCAGGCACCACCACCAAGAAGGCCCTCTGCCTGGTTCCCTGTAACTTCACTTCTCACAGGGAGGGAACTGCCAGAAGGCCCTCGGAGCTGGACCTCAGTGAACAATGGGGGTGGAGACGGTCCTTCAGGTATACTGGACTGGGGCCGTTTTGGGCTTTAAAGGTCAGCACCAACACTTTGAATTGTGTAGGTCTTTCAGGACTGGTGTTATATGGTCTTGGTGGCCACTCCCAGTCACCAGTCTAGCTGCCGCATTCTGGATTAGTTGTTGTTTCCAGGTCACCTTCAAAGGCAGTCCCACATAGAGTGCACTGCAGTAGTCCAAGCGGGAGATAACCAGAGCATGCACCACTCTGGTGAGACAGTCCGTGGGCAGGTAGGGTCTCAGCCTGCGTAACAGATGGAGCTGGTAAACAGCTGCCCTGGACACATAATTGACCTGCACCTCCATGGACAGCTGTGAGTCCAAAATGACTCCCAGGCTGCTCACCTGCTCCTTCAGGGGTACAGTTACCCCATTCAGGACCAGGGAGTCCTCCGCACTTGCCCGCTCCCTGTCCTCCAAAAACAGTACTTCTGTCTTGTCAGGATTCAACCTCAATCTGGGGTTGAAACAGCAGCAAAGTGGACTCTAGGCAAGCATTCTTAGAGGGCAAGTCCCACGACTGGGGTGCCACTGCCAAAAAGGCCCTCTGCCTGGTTCCCTGTAACCTCACTTCTCACAGGGAGGAAACTGCCAGTAGGCCCTCAGAGCTGGACCTCAATGTCTGGGCTGAAATGAGGATGGAGACGCTCCTTCAGGTATACTGGGCCGAGGCTGTTTAGGGCTTTAAAGGTCAGCACCACCACTTTGAATTGTGTTGCAAAACCTTTGCAGTTCTCACAGAGGCTTTTAAGAATGTGATGCTTTTAATCTTGTGCTGTGTTTCAACATGGCCGATTTACACCCTGGAATTTTTAAGGCTTGCATTATGTGTTGCTTGATATGATAAGATATATCGAGAGAGATTTATGTCTTTCCTCTCTTTTCTCATGATTGCTTTAGCCCTGGTTTATAACATTGCATTGTTTTTCATTTTGGGTTTTTTTTTTAAAATTCTTTTAATACTTTTGGTATGGCGGCCTAGGGAAAAATGAAAGTTATCAGCCACTTAATAGAGTAGCATAAAATAAATGGCATCTAGAACTACATTTAAGAGCAGGTAGTTTAAAAAAATACGGAGTGAGCCTTCAAGATACCTTCCTTCACCCCTGTGTTTTCAACAAAAGCGGGGATGTATTATAATACAGGAATTATATCCCTTTATAATTATAATTAAAGGAAAAGTTAGGCTTCTTCATCAATGCCCTTCTTAAATTAAACATGTTCTCTGATTGCCTCATCATGAAAAGGCAATCAACCTGAGTGGAAGATTTTTTAATACCTTCGCTAAACAAATGGCAGCTCTCCTTATTCTCCAGCGTAGCTGCAGGTTACCTTACTTATCAGATATAATCTTCTAAATCATAAACTACTTCATTTGGTTTTTGCCCCCCTTCCCTGCAGAATACCTTCTGCACAATGTGAAATTGTCCTAGGAGGGATTAATAATTAAACTTCAAATTTAAAGTAGGCTGTCAGAAGAATGGAAGGAGGGAAAAGGATGGCGCTAATGATTCTAGCTTGGGGGCCTTCTCCGCGACGGAGGCTTTGATCAGTTTGCGGTGTTGCGGGGGAGCAAGTGGCCTCCTGCAGCCTTGCTCAGGCTGGGCTTCTAAGAGTTAGAGCACAGATCAACAGTCATGGGTACTGCTGCCAGTACCTTGCTTAGATGCTAGAGTCATCCTTGAGTTTTCATTTGGAATGAAAGGTGGGGCACAAAAATGAAACAATTCAAAGTTCTGGTTTTGACCTATAAAGACCTTGAGGACTGCCTCATTTCAGATGAACTTACTTGGATTCTGTTTCATCTTCTGAGGCCCTTCTTCATGTGCCTCCTTCACAAGAGGTCTGGAGGGTGGCAACACGAGAACGGGGCCTTCTCTGCAGTGGCTCCCTGTTTGTTGAATGCTCTCCCCAGGGAAGTTCGCCTGGCGCCTTCATTATACACTTTTAGGCTCCTGGCAAAAACATTCCTCTTTAACCAGGCCTTTGGCTGTTTAATATCCAATTCCCTTTTAAAATGTGTTGGGAGGGGGTTCTCGGTTTGCTTTTGTTTTAATTGTGTCGTTTGTGCTTTTATATTGTGATTTTAACTTGTGGACTGCCCTGAGACCTGCGGACATAGTAAAAGGTAAAGGGACCCCTGAAAATTAGGTCCAGTCGTGACCGACTCTGGGGTTGCGGCGCTCATCTCACTTTATTGGCCGAGGGAGCCAGCGTACAGCTTCCAGGTCATGTGGCCAGCATGACTAAGCCACTTCTGGCGAACCAGAGCAGTGCACGGAAACGCTGTTTACCTTCCTGCCGGAGTGGTACCTATTTATCTACTTGCACTTTGATGTGCTTTGATATGCGGGCATAGGGCAATATATAAATTTAATAATAATAAATATAGTTCCTCAAACAATGGGGAAGGGGCACGATATTCCCCAAAACAAGAGTGGGAAACCTCTGGCCCATAAGCCAAATTCCAGACCTCTCCATTTGGCCTACGAAGCTATTGCACATCATAGTGCTTGAAACTGTGATATCTGATTAGGAAGGATAAATGTCTGGATGGCAATTTGTCCAATCATAAGGCCCAGTTAGTGCTTTCTTGGTGCAGCCAGTGTCAGCAGGATATTTCTCGTGGAAAGGGTGATGGGTACTTCAATGCACTCTGGGCTTTGGAAGTTAAAAGGAAAATAGTCCCCGGGTCGATAAATGAAAATGAAGGGATGGCTCCACTGTAAAAGATGGAAAGTGATCGCTTTGATAAATTGCGGTTGGACCAGCTGGTGGTTAGCATCCCGAGGTGTGGGGAGGACAGTCATGGAAAGATAAAGGACTCAAGGAAGACATCAGTTTCCCACAGATATCCATAATTCACGGAACACTGTCAAATATCATGTCATTGACAGCCCAAAAGGGATGTGGGAAGGTGACTTCCCTTGTTGTTCTTTAATGAAATATGAGTAGATCAAAGAGGAGGACCAGAGAGGCTGAAGGAACAGGATCAGAAGTCCAGCTGACCAATGGTAAAAGCAACTGTTTCTACCCAGGGGTGCAGCCAATACTTTCCTTATCCAAATTTCTGATTGGATGGCTCCAGGATGCTGGGGACAGGGGCCCTGCTGCAGAAATAGTAAAGGTAAAAGGGTAAAGGACGCCTGGACGGTTAAGTCCAGTCAAAGGTGACTATGAGGTGCGGAGCTCATCTCGCTTTTCAGGCCAAAGGAGCTGGCGTTTGTCCACAGACAGCTTTCCGGATCATGTGGCTAGCATGACTAAACCGCTTCTGGTGCAACAGGACACCGTGACAGAAACCAGAGTGCACAGAAACACCCTTTACCTTCCTGCCAGAGCAGTACCTATTTATCTACTTGCACTGGTGTGCTTTCGAACAGTGAGGTTGGCAGGAGCTGGGACAGAGCAATGGGAGCTCACCTCATTGGGGATTCGAGCCACCGACCTTCTGATCGGCAAGCGCAAGAGGCTTAGTGCAACCCCACTCTACTAAACCACCAGGTGGGTGAAGAGGCGCCAGCTAGCACCTTTCGCAATGCTTTGTCCAATGGTCTGTTGGGATTTTGCCTCACCTGTTAGGGCCTTGACTTCCCCTAAGCCTTAAACTGTAATGGCAGGGCAGGACAATTCCCATAATTCATGCCAGAAATTCTCAAGGGCTTGTCCACACTTCTGTTTGCCCTGTGCCTAGAAACAGTTTTCTGCTTGTCCCATGATTTCCAGGCACAGGTCTGAGCACTTTCCCACTTTTCCCTGGGAAAACCCACTCTTTAGATGTCATGAATGAGCCAGCTCCCAGTGACGGTTTGCAGCCAGCTCCCAGTGAAGGTTTGGAACCAGCTGAAGAAAGCGGCCAGGAACAGAAAGGGTTAACTTCCAGGCAGGATGAGCACCGGCTAGTGCCAACTCCCCCCGCCCCTTGGAATGCCGGTTGATAAGGGAATGGCTGAGAGCGGGCCGGAACCCAGCCAATGCTCTCGAAAAGTGCAAACTGGTGCAAAGAGAGAAGGAAGCAGTTTGTCAGAACGGGAAAAGATTGGAGCTGAGCCAATCCCTCCTAAGAGTAGGCTAATGGGAGGGCTGTTAGACCAGAAACAAAGCAAGAGGTGCAAAGTGAGAAAGCTCAATATCTTCTGTACCCGGAAGGAGTCTTCAGAAGGGTCATCGTGATTGATGATGCTGGGAGGCTGTGTTAAAGCTGTCCAGAGCTATCTGTTGTTTTGACAATAAATCATCCTTTTTAATTAACTACGCTTACTGTGTGGTCAAGCTGTGGACTGGATTCCTGGCATTAGAGCTGAATCAGTGCAGACGTCAGTCCGCAGAAAACTCGACTGACGTTTGCTCCAATTGAGGAGTAAGAAGTGGGTTTTCCCCGGGAGGAAGCAGTGGGACAAGCTGAAGTCTGGACAAGCCCTTAGTTAAACTGGAATCCAGGAGTGGAGACACATTAATCAGAGGCCACATCCAAGAATGGAACCAGGGGATTCACCTGTGTTTCTGTATATGCAGAGCTTTTGCACATAACAAAAATATGCTAGGTACAAATAATATCCCTGTGGGGGAAACCCATCAAGTCGAGTGCAACTGGTGTAATACAATTGAGTTTTGCATTCTGAGTGTGTGGCTCTGGCAGTTGCTGTACCCTTGGATCCTGACAAGATAATAGCCCACACTTCCAATGTAAAGGGGTTCCTATGGCTTATCCTTTCCCACGAATCCTTGCCCTGTGTGCAGTCAATTACTTACCAAGGCTGTGATCCAATATACTTTCCCCTAAGCGCAAGTCCCATTGAACTAAATGTGGCTGACATTTGTCTAGACCAGGGGTAGGCAACCTAAGGCCCGGGGGCCGGATGTGGCCCAATCGCCTTCTAAATCCTGTCCGTGGACGGTCCGGGAATAGCGTGTTTTTACATGAGTAGCATGTGTGCTTTTATTTAAAATGCATCTCTGGGTTATTTGTGGGGCCTGCCTGGTGGTTTTACATGAGTAGCATGTGTGCTTTTATTTAAAATGCATCTCTGGGTTATTTGTGGGGCACAGGTATTCGTTCATTATTATTTTTTTCAAAATATAGTCCAGCTCCCCACAAGGTCTGAGGGACGGTGGACCGGCCCACAGCTGAAAAGGTTGCTGACCCCTGGTCTAGGCATACAGAGGAGGAGTTGCAGAAAGCATCCCATGTTTCCTTGCCACCGAACAGACCCAGACGCACTGCTGTAGCAGCCGTGTCTTGTCGTGCCCCCCCCCTGAGCAAAGCGACGCCACTTGCGAGAAGCATTCGTTTCTCAGGCAGAGCACGGCGGATGACACCAGCACCGCAGTGTACACATGGAAGCAATTTGCGAGCATTAATTCCACTTGGTTGGAGAGAATGATGTATGTGCCGTTTGTGAGAAGATGCACAGGGGTTCATGCTGTGGCATTCATTGACTCATGCAGGCCGAGCTGTTTACAGGGCTTCATTGTAGACCCGAAGGTGTAAATATATGTCTCTCTCTTTCTCTGCTGTCTCTCCCTCTCCCCTACAATGATCACCTCCCTCCCGTAGGCTGACTCGCCAATCCAAGACTCACTGCCAGTAGCAGCTGTCACATTGAATCACTAGAGATATTTTAGGATTTGGCCATTGATGAATGTGTAGGATGCAGTTGCTCATGCCTGTGGCAGGAAGGCGAAGGCTGGAGAAACTGCTGCCATTAAACATTCCCCCAGCACATCACTGGGGCCACCATGGATATATGGCAGCCCATGTAAAACTCTCTGGTCCTGAATGGGGTAACTGTGCCCCTGAAGGACCAGGTGCACAGCCTGGGAGTCATTTTGGACTCACAGCTGTCCATGGAGGCGCAGGTTAATTCTGTGTCCAGGGCGGCTGTTTACCAGCTCCATCTGGTATGCAGGCTGAGACCCTACCTGCCCGTGGACTGTCTCGCCAGAGTGGTACATGCTATGGTTATCTCCCGCTTGGACTACTGCAATGCGCTCTACGTAGGGCTACCTTTGAAGGTGACCCAGAAAATACAACTAATCCAGAATGCGGCAGCTAGACTGGTGACTGGGAGTGGTCGCTGATAACACCAGTATTGAAAGACCTACATTGGCTCCCAGTACGTTTCCGAGCACAATTCAAAGTGTTGGTGCTTACCTTTAAAGCCCTAAATGGCCTCAGTCCAGTATACCTGAAGGGGCGTCTCCATCCCCATCGTTCTGCCCGGACACTGAGATCCAGTGCCGAGGGCCTTCTGGTGGTTCCCTTGCTGCGAGAAGCTAAGTTACAGGGAACCAGGCAGAGGGCCTTCTCGGTGGTGGCACGCGCCCTGTGGAACGCCCTCCCACCAGATGTCAAAGAGAAAAACAAATACCAGACTTTTAGAAGACATCTGAAGGCAGCCCTGTTTAGGGAAGCTTTTAATGTTTTAATACAGTGGTACCTCTAGATACGAACGGGATCCGTTCCAGAGCCCCATTCGCATCTAGAAGCAAATGTAACTAGCGGCAGCACGTCTGTGCACGCGTGCGCCGCTTTTCGCCACTTCTGCGCATGGGCATGACGTCATTGAGTGTCTGCGCATGCGCAAGCGACAAAACCCGGAAGTAATGTGCTCAGCCCAAAGCGCATGCAACTCAAGGTATGACTGTAGACTATTGTATTTTAATATTTTGTTGGAAGCCACCTAGAGTGGCTGGGGAAACCCAGGCAGATGGGCGGGGTATAAATAATAAATTATTATTATTATTATTATTATTATTATTATTATTGATCATGAACCATCAGGAATGGTTCCACTGTTAGTTCAGGGCTGAAGAACCACAGGTCCAGGAGCTGCCTAGGGTCTTCCAAGCAACTCTGTTTGGCCCCACAGGAGTCTCATCTGGCCAAACCCCCAACTTTGCACCTCCCTCGAGTGCTTTGGCTGGCTGTGATATATATCCTTGAATTCTGATCATGCCTCTTCCTGCCTGGTTGGAGGACAGAGTATTGTGTGTGTGTGTGTCTCATCACAATGCATTCTTGAATGCCATTTTCACTGCTAAATTTATTTTTATGGGCTCTTCCCCGTAACGTATACATTTAGAGAACCGCGTTGCAAAATTGCGAGAAGTGCGAATTTCAAAGAATGTCTGTGCTTCGGTTCTCATATTTTTGCTTGCTTTTGAATGAGAACTGAAATGAACTGTTTAACTATAGTTAAATAAAATCTAGCAGGAATTGAAACGAGTACAGCCCATGGGAACGGAAGAAGGGGAAGAAAGAAAAATAATAATGACAAAATGATACGATATTTTAAGCATTGAATTGGAATTAGGAAATGTATGTTGCAATGAGCGATGATGATGATAATAATAATAATAATAATAATTTATTACTTATACCCCGCCCAATTGGCCAGGCCTCCCCAGCCACTCTGGCAGCTTCCAACAGGGTATTAAAAACACAATAAAAAAATCAAACATTAAAAACTTCCCTAAACAGGACTGGCTTCAGCAACAAGTAAGGGAGCAAAAAGAAACATAATTGTAGTGGGGTAGAAAGTCAACTTTTAAAATTGCATTAAATTTGAAATAATTTGATGTTAATTTGTTAAAAGTTTTGAAAAGCAGTAAAAAATTATGGGCAAAAAGGAGAGAACTGAAATGAATGTCTCCCCTATCCCCTCCTGTGAGTAAATATGGCAGCCTTGGGGCCACTTTTAAGCGTTACCCTGGTTTGCCCCTGAGGGTACATTGTTGTTGTTGTTTTGTCATTTAGTTGTGTCTGACTCTTCGTGACCCCATGGACCAGAGCACGCCAGGCACTCCTGTCTTCCACTGCCTCCCGCAGTTTGGTTAACTCATGCTGGTAGCTTCGAGAACACTGTCCAACCATCTCATCCTCCATTGTCCTCTTCTCCTTGTGCCCTCCATCTTTCCCAACATCAGGGTCTTTTCCAGGGAGTCCTCTCTTCTCATGAGGTGGCCAAAGTATTGGAGCCTCAGAAGGATCTGTCCTTCCAGTGAGCACTCAGGGCTGATTTTCTTCAGAATGGAGAGGTTTGTTCTTCTTGCAGTCCGTGGGACTCTCAAGAGTCTCCTCCAGCACCAGAATTCAAAAGCATCAATTCTTCGGCGATCAGCCTTCTTTATGGTCCAGCTCTCACTTCCACACATCACTACTGGGAAAACCATAGCTTTTACTGTGTGCTATTTGTGAACTCTAGAGGGAGCTGCAGAAAATCTCAGCTCACAGGCAAGTGCGTCTTGAATTGCACACATGCGTTTGCAACCTGATGCTGGTCACATACCACCTTACATTTCCAGGTGCGCATTGAAAACATGCTCAAGTGGACACCTGAAAATGTAATGTGTGAAGTTTTGCACAAGGTCACTCTCTACTCAAGCGCTCTGCCATTTCTAGCAAAACGGAAGGTGCTGGGATATGCCTGACCTTTCAGTGTGAAGCCTCTGAGAGCAGGGCAGGAGAGTGCTTGGAGATTCAGCTGATTAAGATGAAATATTTTCTGTGGTGGGGGAGAGAGAGAGAATCAAAGGTTGGCTTGCCTTCAAATGGCATTTCATTGTAAAGGTCCGTTTGGTTTTGACAGAGAATGGGAGAAAAAGCCCCAGGCAAAGGGGCTGGGATAATGTATTTTCCAAGCCTGCTCTGACAAAGGGGTCGGAGCGCCTGGATTCCCCTCTGCTGGAAGGTGTGGAGAGAGAAACAGAAGACACCATGCGCAGAAAAGGGGCCATCGTCTGCAGGTTTAATCAGAAGTAAGCCCCACTGATTCACACTGCTAAGCAAGCGTGCAAACTGCAGGCTTTGTTTTGTGGTTCGAGGACCCGACCCCCGCGATGTGAAATAAATACACAAGGACACGTGATATAAGGTTAATGGGCAAGAAAAGGCCACAACTTTATTGATTACAGCAGTGAAAAGGTATTGGCTTAGGCATTGGATGTCTAAAACAAGGGGGTTTATTCACCAGTAGGTGGAGCCTGTTGATGCTAATCCAACTATAGGCTCTCCCCTGATGTCACCGGGGGGTCGTGCCATGGCCTCCCGCCAACCAGGCATCGGACAGAGTACACGACCGCCAGATTCCTTTAACGGAATACCCAAAAATTGAAGGCATAGGCGATGGCCACACCCAGCCCTTCGACACACCACAACACATTATTCCAATGCCTAACCTACCCACCAATACCACAAAAAGTTGTGACGATTGCTACGAGGTAGGCGAAAAAACCAAAAGCCTAATGCCAAATGGAAAAATTCCTACCAGGCCCCCTAGACAACCAGGGCGACCAACCTAAGGTCCATAGCAAGGCCAAAGAACAAAGACCCTGAGCTAAAAGGGAGTGGAGGGTGGGTGACTCACGACGAGAGGACGGAGAAGAATGAGGCCGAGGAGAGGCTGGCACCGCCGCAAAGGCTGCTGAACACGCCCCTCGAAGGCACCTGGTTGGATGCCTGCCAAGGGGCGTGGGCGCCAGCCAGGTGAGAGGAGGAGGCAGGGGGCTAATGCCCCCTGCTAGGGGCGGTGCTCGGGCTCCCGCCCACAACCACTCCCCTCTCTTCCAGGGAGGAGAGTCTTTGCTGAGAATGGCTGTGCATGTAAACACATCTTCTAACTCCATCGTATGCATGTCTGCACAGGTGTACATCCCATTGCACTCAACAGACTTTACTCCCAGGTAAGTGAGTCCAGGTTTGTAGCCTTAAAGCACAAAACTAGGCAGATGAAAGTCCCACTCAGTTCAAAGGGATTTGCTCCCAGGTAGGGATGTGGGTGGAGTGGAGGGGGCGGTGGTGGGAAATTCTATTCAGTTCACATTTAAAGGTGGATCTATCCCATTTCCACTTCCTGAAATGATACCCAAATGGAAACACAGTCATCCTACACAATTTGCAATGCATCCTCTGAATTTAGCAATACAGTTTTCCAACCAAGTAATGTATACAAGGGATGCGGGTGACGCTGTGGGTTAAACCACAGAGCCCAGGGCTTGCCAATCAGAAGGTCGGCGGTTCAAACCCCGCAATGGGGTGAGCTCCCGTTGCTTGGTCCCTGCTCCTGCCAACCTAGCAGTTTGAAAGCACGTCAAAGTGCAAGTAGATAAGTAGATATTGCTCCGGCAGGAAGGTAAACGGCGTTTCCGTGCACTGCTCTAGTTCGCCAGAAGCGGCTTAGTCATGTTGGCCACATGACCCGGAAGCTGTACGCCGGCTCCCTCGGCCAATAAAGCGAGATGAGTGCCGCAACCCCAGAGTCAGCCATGACTGGACCTAATGGTCAGGGGTCCCTTTACCTTTTAATGTATACAAAAAAAAAAAAAGCACACACTAGGTCAATTGTTTACAAAAATGCATACAGTGGAACCTTGGTTCTCGAATTTAATCCATTCCAGAAGTCTGTTCAACTCCCGAAATGTTCGAAAACCAAGGCACGGCTTCTGATTACTGTAGGCGCACCAGAAACAATAGCCAACAGCTGCACCGGACGTTCGGCTTCCAAAAAACATTTGAAAACCAGAATACTTACTTCCGGGTTTTCAACGTTTGGGAGCCGATTTGTTCGTCAACTAAGCCATTCGAGGATCAAAGTTCCACTGTATATTAGTGAAAATTACAAAAATGCATTACATAGGGAACAACTGCACATTCCGGCATTGTACGGGGTTGCATTAGATGACCCTCATGGTCCCAACTCTACAATTCTAGGTAGGCACCTCCTGTTTCTTCAACATTCTTCAAATGTCAACATAATATCGCCATCAACATATGCATGATATTAAATACAGAGGACCAGGAGAAGAGTCATGTTGGATGTCAACCACGTTTGGTTCATCTAGACCAGCAACATGTTTCCAAGAGTGGCCAGCCAGATGAGGAGGAGGAGTACCAGAAGGAGAACTTGAAAATAACAACCCTCCCCTCACCCTAACAAGAACAACTGCCTCTGAACCTGGAAGCTCCATTTAGATATCAGGGCTAATAGCTGTGTTGATTTAAGGCTCACCCTCCATGAATTTGTCTCATCCCCTTTCTAAGAACACATAAGGATATGGAGTAACTGGTCACATGTACACGATACATCTAAGGCACATTTAAGGCACATCCAAAGAACGTGGCTAGCCCCAGAGCATTCTGGGAACTGTGGTTTGTTAAGGGTGCTGGGAATTGTAGCTCTGGAAGGGCTAAACTACAATCCCCAGGATTGTTTGAGGAAAGCAACGTGCTTTAAATGTACCGTGCTGGCTGTGAGTTGAATATCAAGAGACTCTGACAAGATGTTGTCAAGCAGATGCAGTAGAAAAGACACAGCTGTCAAAGGTTCACACCAATTTGCGTCAGTTTTCCCCGTCGCTTTGAGTGCTGGCAATAAAATCTGGAAGTCAAAAAGTCCCCAGGATGTTTCATTGAACGCTGATGCTGCCTCTTGCTTGTCAAGATGGGGGTTAGAGAGGGGTGTGTGAGTCAGTGAGTAGAAAGACTACTGTAGAAAGGTAAGATTTACATCCATTGCTCCTCCCAGGGGCGTAGGAAGTGGGGGCGGGCGGGGGTGGGGGTGTGGTTCGCCCCAGGTTCCATCATGGAGGAGGGTGACAAATTATCAAGGAACAATTACTGCCCTACTAGGGCGGTTCATAGGGACGCGGGTGGCGCTGTGGGTTAAACCACAGAGCCTAGGACTTGCCGATCAGAAGGTCGGTGGTTCAAATCCCCATGACAGGGTGAGCTCCCATTGCTCGGTCCCTGCTCCTGCCAACCTAGCAGTTCGAAAGCACATCAAAGTGCAAGTAGATAAATAGGTACTGCTCCGGCGGGAAGGTAAATGGCGTTGCCCTGCGCTGCTCTGGTTCGCCAGAATCGGCTTAGTCATGCTGGCCACATGACCCAGAAGCTGTACGCTGGCTCCCTCGGCCAATAAAGCAAGATGAGCGCCGCAACTCCAGAGTCGCCCACGACTGGACCTAATGGTCAGGGGTCCCTTTACCTTTAGGGTGGTTCATAAAAAACTTTTTTTTTGAAAATGCCTGCTCCAAAGATCTTATCTTACTACACTAGGGATTATATAGCTATATATGAAATTTCATGCATATCAGTTAATATATTGACCCTCTTCCATGAAAATAGCTGTTTACTTGGCCGTTTTCCTATGTCGTGAAGGCTGAAATTCAGTGGAGCACTTACTTTTCCTAACCCTGCGGAAAGCCATCTAATTAGGCTTTAGTTTGATTTTGACATGTTTTTAGGAGGTAATTTAATTATTGTTTGATTTTATACCAGTGTTATGTATCTGATGTTAGCTGCACAGAGCCCGACTTTGGCCGGAGAGGGCCAGATATAAATAAATGTTTATTATTATTATTATTATTACTACTACTACTAGTACTCATTATTATTCCTTTGTAAGAAAATATGAAGGCAAAAAAATTAAAATAAATCAATGTGTGTGGGGGGAGTGACAAGAAATTTTCCACACCGGGTACCACCTGACCTTCCTACGCCTCTGGCTCCACCCACTCTTGTCACTGGCCCTGCCCATCATTGGCATGTGGTCCCTGGAAGGCCACCCAATTTCTCACACAGCTCTTAGATACCCCTACCCCATTTCCCAGTGTGGCAGGCTCATTCCCGGTTTGCTAATAGGCCTTTTAACAGCTTGCTAAGTTTTCAGTGAAGTCGCATTACCTCTGTTACCTCTCCTTCCTCTGCAACTGCCTGGTTGTCTTGGCAACTGCAGTTACTAAGCCATATGGTTGCTAAGGCCGATCTTGCGATGATATTTTGCATGTGCAAGAAGACTAAGAAGTCTGGAATGGCAAGGACGAAGCCAATAGGGTTCGTACATTTCCATTCTCCACAGGCCCACCCCCTCCAAGATTTCTCAACATGGGAACGGCTTTGACTGGCTAGCTAAACCAGGTAAGGGTAGCCGATGAGTCTCAAAACCTTGGTGAGTTAAGGATTTTCCCTACATCCAAAGACAGCCTCTAGCGGATTGAGTGGATGAGACCAACAACAGATCCAACAGTTAAGAAGGCAGTTTCCACACATGCTGTAGACGGATGTGAGAGGCAGTTGTGGGTTGTCAACCTGGGAAGGCAGTCCATCTAGGAGAAGGAAAACTGTGATCCTACACCTCTGCTCCTGTGCTGGTCCCGTGGGCTACCCAAGAGGCGAGGTCCAAGTCCAGTCTGTGATTAAAGGTGCAACATGGAGGCAGTCCATAGTAGCTGAAGCTGGGTGCAGGGCAGGGAGTCGGGTGAAGTCAGGAACAGGCATGCAAGCAGGGAGCCAGGGTGGGTCAGGAGCTCAGGCAGGAAAGCAGGACAGGGTTCAGGCAGGAACTAGCAACCAACAATGTTGCTCCTGCAACTTGAGACTGGGGCTGGCTGGCTTTTATCTGCCCCGAGGCATAGGGCGGCCCCGATCCTCTGGTGACTCGCCTCTCCTGGCCTGGAGGCGAGCACTCCTCCTGCGGGAACTTAGTTCCCTCTGCCTCTCTGCCCTGAGCCTCTGCAGCTCAGGAGAGGCTGGAGGGTTACCGGACCCAGAGGCAACCTCAGCTTCCTCTGCCGGGGCTGAGAGTGGAGCACCTGCAGGCAATGGATCCTTGATCACCTCCAGAGCCAGAGCAGATTCAGCTGGTGCCTGGTGCCTGCACCTGAGGATCCAGCACAGGTGAGGACCCTTCAGGCTCATGCCCCAGCCCCGGCTCAGCTGGTTCTGGAGGCAGGGAAACCTGTGCAGGCTGGGATCCCTCAGGTTCAGCATCCAAGTCCAAATCCCAGGCCATCACACACATGCTGTAGACGGAATTGAGGGGCAGTTGTGGGTTGTCAACCTGGGAAGGTAGCCCATCTAGGAGAAGGAAAACTGTGATCCTACACCTCCACTGAGAGCCAGTGTGGTGTAGTGGTTAAGAGCGGTAGACTCGTAATCTGGTGAACCAGGTTCGCTTCCCCGCTCCTCCACATTCAGATGCTGGATGACCTTGGGCTACTCACGCTTCTCTGAAGTCTCTCAGCCTCACTCACCTCACAGAGTGTTTGTTGTGGGGGAGGAAGAGAAAGGAGATTGTTATCCACTCTGAGATAAAGTGGGATATCAAATCCAAACTCTTCTCTTCTTCTTCTTCTTCCGCTGCCTTGCGCTCTACTCATATGTGAGAAAGGAGGCGGGAGCAAACCCTGAGGAATAATATCTATCAGCTTCCTTTCAGGACATCTTTGGGAGAAGAGAGGGCTAAGGAGCAAACCCTACACAAATCCCGAGTGTAGTCTCTAAGATTGTTGGATGGTGTCTTGTACGCCTCCTTCCAGCAACTCCTGCAGCCAAGCTGGTGCCAAATGTATTGCTCCCCTTTCCTTTGGACAATAGCTGTCAAGCGTCCCTTATTTGGAGGGACAGTCCCTTATTCCAGCGCCATGTCCCGCTGCTGTCCTTTATTGATGGATGTCCCTTAAATGTCCCTTAAATGATGTCCCTTAAATTTCAAAGTAAGCAGCTCCTCTCTCTCCCTCCCTGCCGGCCAGGGAGGAGGGAGGCTCCAACTGTGTTGCTTGGCTGTGTTGCTCACCCAATAAGAAGTCTAAGAACGACTGGGTGGTGGAGCTTGCATGATTTGTGCTGATCAAATCAGCTGTGTTGCCTTTGCTCAGCGCTTCCCAGCAGAGAGGTGACGGTGGTTTTCCATGAGGCTTTGTTTGGCTGCTGGCTGGGCTTTCTGCCTTTGGCTCAGAGGGGCTCAGAAGTTGAACATACCTATGCTGAGTGCTCGGATCGGAATCGGATGGATACGTCATCGATGGCCCACTCACCCTTGCCGGCGAAAAGGTCTGTCTGGAGCGGGGGCACATGGTGGGGGAAAAGGAAAGGAGCTCTCTTGGTGAGGGGGGGAGGCTGTGTGTGTGTGGCTAGTTAATGCAAGCTGAGGGGTTTTTTGAATGCTGGACGCCATTTTGTTGCACGTGCTGCTGCAAACTTTGCAGTGCAAAGCCAGGCCGGTGAGCCATCTTAAGTGGAGGCTGCATAGGCCTTGTGGTGCATGTGATTCAGATTCTATTCAGTTGAACCTCTGGTTACAAAGTTGGTTGGACAGTGTTCTCGAAGCTACCAGCGTGAGTTTGACCAGACTGCAGGAGGTCAGGAAGACTGGAGTGCCTGGAACAGGTGAGGCTGCAGGTCCCTTATTTTGGCTGCTGGTCCCTTATTTTCAAGGCTTCTGGTCCCTTATTTTCAAATCTGTAAGTTGACAGCTATGCTTTGGACCATCTCAGCGAGGCCTGGATGGGGTTCGTGTCATCGTCTGGGCAGCCCAGGACCTCCATACCCAGTGGCCAGGTTTGTGCCCAGGGGAGGTCGCTTCAGTGCTAATGCAGCAGTTGGGTAAAGGTAAAGGGACCCCTGACCATTAGGTCCAGTCGCAGACGACTCTGGGGTTGCAGCGCTCATCTCGCTTTATTGGCCAAGGGAGCTGGCATATGGCTTCAGGGTCATGTGGCCAGCATGACTAAGCCACTTCTGGCGAACCAGAGCAGCGCACGGAAACGCCGTTTACCTTCCCGCCGGGGCGGTACCTATTTATCTACTTGCACTTTGACGTGCTTTCGAACTGCTAGGTTGGCAGGAGCAGGGACTGAGCAACGGGAGCTCACCCCATCACGGGGATTCGAACCGCCGACCTTCTGATCGGCAAGCCCTAGGCTCTGCGGTTTAACCCACAGCGCCACCCGCGTCCCCTTAACAGAGCTTAAGACTGCATAAAAGAGAAACCAAAATGGACAGGTCGGACCATCCATAGTCACAGTGGAAGGCACTGTGCATATGTGTGTGTTTTGGAACCGCTGCATCTGAGCTGCTTGTAGCCTCAAGCTTCTTTTGCGTCCTTGTGCTGCTGCTGTAACTAACATTCATCTGGCCAGCTCAGCACCTCCTCCTTCTCCTTCTGAGTACTGTAGCAGAACAGACCTAACCGTGTGATTTCAGGGCCTCGGGCAGTTCTCAGGCTAATTCCAGTGCCAACATGACTCTCTCATTTGCTTTTAAAAATAGGCACAAAGAAACATTCCCCCCCCCCGCAACTGTCATTCAAAATATCAGATGTGGGAAGGCTCCTGTCTGGCACACTGATGTCATCAGAAGTTGCAGTTGGCAAAGAAAAAATGTTCAATGATGATCCCATGGAGAAATGCATATCTATCTATCTATCTATCTATCTATCTATCTATCTATCTATCTAATCTATATCTTTCAAGTGGATTAGTCTACTTCAGGGGTGCAGATCCTCAGGCCTGGGAATTGAATGTGATCGTTCAGGTCTGCCTGGCCCTCAAGTCTCCCCAGAACATGCTCCTGACATACCCTCCAACATTTATCCAATGGAAATAGGGACGTCTTATTCCATAATTACTATTTATACCCAACACATCTTACTGGGTTGCCCCAGCTACTCTGGGCAGCTTCCAACTAATAATAATAATACAGTGGTACCTCAGGTTA